TGACTGGATAAATAAATGGAAAAAAGAATCTGTCTTGGGGCCTTTAAAGATCCAAACTATTTCAGAAATGAAGGAGTGGAATGTGGAAATTATTTATTGCCATGATCTTGGAGTAAACATACATTTTTAATATTAGGGTTTGGTGGCTCACCTAATAAGTAAGAATTGTTATGAAGAAAAATAAATTCATGTAAGGTATACATATGAAAAATAAAAATTTTAGAAAATAAAAATCAGGTTTTCAAGGTACTGGCATGCATGCACACCATTTGTGTTCTGACAAACTATGTCATACCAATTTATAGTTTTTATGTAGAAAAAGAAACCGTGCTGTTTTACTGTAGTAAGCCAGTAAGATTTTCCTCTTAAAAATTATGAACTTAAAATGTAAAGGCATGAAAAATTATCGTGTAAGGTAAATCTATGGTAGTTTTAAGAAATGAAATCAGAATGGTAAATTACATAAAGTTTTGAGTCAGTAGAGAATATATTTCAAATACCTTCTTTCTTATGTGCGTGTGTGTATTACTGGGCTTTGAACTTAGTGTTTTGTACTTGTGAGGCATCAAATATTCTACCACTGAGTTCTATCTTCAACCCTCAGTAGCTGTATTTCAAACCTTATTTGCATTTTTAAGACATTCTTCATTTTTCAAAGTTCTTTCTGTGATGAAGTCATTATTTAAAAATTTCTAATGTTGACCATCTGGGGAAAAGTAGGCATAATGTCTGGAAATATGGATATATTTTTATTCTATTTGTATATTAAAGAAAATGATCTCATTTCTAGCAGTAGAACCTAAACCTTTCACTTTTTTTTAATTTTGAGAAGGGAAAATAAAGCAATATTCATAAGATCCATGATCTTGCAGCTAGAAAGACAAAAAGTTAACGATTACTACGAGTACCATGATAATCACAATTTCTCTTAAGAGTATAAATTGGAGCTTTCTCAACTCTGAAAAACATTTTTCAAAAAAAAAGGTTAGGAAATTCTAACAGACTTAAACACTTAACTTGAGCTCCATTCATTATTTATTCGGTCTCTTTCCAAAATTGAGTAAGAATACTATATTTCACAAGGTAACCTGCGGTTGTCAGTAAATAATTTAGATCTGAAAGTGACTGAAAATGATTTACTTATAGCTTTAGTCAGTCAATATGAAATGTATTTTTGCAAAGATAAATGTGGAATAAACTAAATAAATGTAGAAGAGAAAACACTTGCAGAATGAGCCAATGAGAGGAAGCATGCAAAGAACCAATGAGACGAAACAAGGAACACGGTTAAACACACTTTTCCTGAGAACCATCTTGCCATTACATCTACCAATATGAAACTCAGTCTAAGTCAACTTTCAGCTATATCCCCAATGGCATTATCCACATACCCAGTCATGAGCCATCCATCACCCACCCAAAGAACCTTTGTGAAAGGGGACATTCCTTGGTAACGCCTGCTCATCTCATGTGTCTGCTGGCAGAGAAACTTTGATAGGTCCTTTGTAGAGAAGACAAAACTAATGAACTGTATAATATAATAAACTGGACATTCCTAATTTCATGGGAAAACAGGGGTCCACTATGTGTTTAGAGGACTAACAACCTAACTTGATGCTATATCCTTGTTAAACTCAGGGGCTATAGACCTGCTCCACTGATTAGCAGTGCAGTAGACAGTACAGAAAAAGGCCTGCTGGTACTTTTTCCAGATCATTAAGGAATAAGAAGGAAAGCTACAAGAGGAACTATGCATTGATAAATATTTTGTGAATTGAGAAAAGGTGTCATCAATTATCAGTGCCAGAATGACTTAGTGGTCACATATTTCACTAAGAGCCTTTGTGGAACTCTGAATTTGAAATCTAATAGACAAGCAACAAAAATAACAGCAGTGCTGGGTAAAAAGTTTTTCAAATATGTTGGGTTTGGGAAATTTCCAAACATGAATTTTGAAGGACTTTTCCTTTCAATTTCTTTGAGCCCATGTACATATTAAAAATAACTTAACCCTGACTCGTGTAAATCATCAAAGCATTGTATTGTAAAACCTATCATATTTCCAAAAGAATGCTTACTTACATTCTTATTTCCATGTTTATATATCTACTTTTATGCAGAAAAACATGAGCTAGCAATGTCTTAAATATGAACTATCAATGTTTTAAATTTGTCTTAACTCTTATGCATTCCAAACGAGATGGGGTGCATTCAGAGTGGTATGGCCGTAGACCTCTTATGCATTCCAAATTTAATACAGTAAACTACTACTTATTCAACATGCAAACAACCAATCTAAACTAAATAGTTTTCATAATTTTATTTTGTAGAATCAGCAATGCTGATAGAAGGACTCCCTCCCCAATGTCATTGTCAATAGATTCAAACGCTATCTAAAACTTTATAAAATAAGAAACAATAATAGTTATGATCAAAGTTTATTTATTTGTTTATTTTATTCATTTATTAAATTTTGGTGGTATAGGGATTTAGAACTCAGGGCCTCACACTTGCTAGGCAGGCACTCTACCACTCAAGCCACTCCACCAACCCTTTTTTTTTCTGTGTGTGTGCTGGGTATTTTTCAAATAGGGTATCCCGAACTGTTTCTCTTGGCTGGCTTCAAACCATGATCCTCTTGGTCTCTTGTCTCCTGAGTAGCTAGTATTACAGAAGTGAGCCACTAGTGCCTGGCAAGATCAGAGCTCTTGATTTTGACTTTACTATCCTAAAACAATTTACTGGTTCATTTCATTCATTCATTTACCCATTTATGCAGTAAATGTTTATTAACTTGACAGTTACAAAGAATGAAGAAATAAATGAGATATGGTTTCTGGCTTTGAAAAACCCTATCAATAAGGGAAAAGGATATAGAAAACTAATAATATTAGTACATTTCAATGAATGATTAAAGATACACAAAGGGAAATTAAACTATAGTTTAACTCAGAAGACTTTTGTCATATTCTTGTTCTATTTTAAATTTATAAAAGTGAAAATTTTAGCTGTATTGCCCCATGTCCTAACCATCTCAGATAAATGAAAATTGTTCTAATATTTGTAAAATATTATAACCAAATATTAAAACAAATATAACTGGAATAAAAGTATTCTATAATGAACTAATTTGGAATATTTTTGTGACTTTTCTGATATTTCTGAAATCAATTTAAATTATTTTAAAATTAGAATATAATAGTTGTAGAGGGGGGATACATTGTGACATTTATATATGTGATTAGAATGTATCATAATTACATTCGCGCTCTCTATCTTCTTCCTCATTACTTCTACTCCCTTTCTTAGAACCATTTCTATTGTTCTATTTTCATACATGAAAACAAAATTCATATACCATATTTGCCTTCCTCCATCCTTTCTTTATCCCTACCCTACTCCCACTGATACCATTCTTTGGAAAGGACCTGTTTTACCATCCTGTCCTTCATTTTATAAAGTGTATATTACCAATGGAATACAATTTAGACTCTAAATATAAAATTTGGCAATTGGGGATATGTGAGAACTGCTACATTGCCATCTGTTTATACTTAGAGGTAAAACAGTCAATTATCTGCTTCTATGTATACTAATAGACAATCTACAGCTTATTAAAGAATTAATTGATAAAATTATAAGTGAGTATCTTTATAAAGAGTAGCAAATGAAGAAATTAGTCCACTACAAAGAAAGAAACCTTAAATCTATGGTAATCAACAATTGTAAGCACTCATTTCTTAGGCAAATTTTCTTGAACATTCACTTTATTTTAAGTCCTATGCTAAGCACTAAAAAGTGATTTGCACTATTCTCCGGTTTCCTTTCACATCATGTAAATTTTTTTCCTTTTACCAAATAGTGATTTTCAAAAGATTTTTTGTTTTTACTGTTTAAGACAGTAAACACAAAAGTAAATTATCTTTCCATATTTAAGGATGAAAGATACAGTTTTACAAAAGGAACAGTCATAAAAATGTGGTACTGTTCAAAATAATCAGGTTAAAATAAAACATATCTGTGTATAAAGATGTAAATGATTTTGTATGTGGAATCTGAAAAGACATTTTTATGTTAATCTTACAAAGATGGACAACTTGCCATTCCATCAAATTGTATTGGGTGAGAAATACAACTTGTGTGAAAGTAGACTCTCAGTCAGAGATTGCTAGAGCACCATGACAAAGTCAAAATCGCTTAATGATCACAAGTCTTCAGTGTACCATATTATTCTTTAGTTCCAAAAAACAACATGCATCTAATAGTGGAATTCAATGACAAATTTTAAATCACTTTAATTTTTCATTCTTTAGCACAAAATTTCAATAAGTCATCTTTGATGTAAGGCTAGTTTTAGAAGTGATATTATATCTATAACTACCTTCATCTCTTTTTAATAAAGATGCATGCATAAAACAAAAATATAAACAAAAAATCCTCCTTTCTTCTGCCTTTTTGCTAATACTAGATGATAATTAAAGCTCCACTGAGAAAATTAGAAAACAAAAATTGTTTTTAAAGGAAGTATAACCTAGAATAATTGCAGAATTATATCAACATAGATATTAGTAAATATAAGTATAATCTCTTGAATTATATATGTGCAAGGAAAACATTTTAGCAGTCCTATGAACAAAAGAAAAGTGTGAATGCTAAAATCCAATAATGTTTGGTGTGAAACAGCATAATCACTCTTTTAAAATCATTAATTCATTGAAAATATGTACATTTCTAGGTGGTGTGTTATTATATATCTATAATTTATATTGAATCATTCAATGATTCAATATATGAATATAATTTATATTGATTTATCCAATGAATATGTTATTATGTAGTAACTTAAATATATTGTAAGCAAAAGAGATTTAATTATTTCTATTAGCTTAATAAAATACAATTTTAGTAGTGATGTTTACTTTGAAGTTTTCAACTTTTCAGGGATAAAATTTTGGCCACTAGCATAATATTAAATTATTTTAAATCAATCAATATTTAAGGTCATGACCTCTGGAATTAAGAAATTCTTCAAGACGATGTTGAATATCATCCAAGAGAAAATGTGATTTGAGTCTGGAGACAATTGTGCATGTAAGTATTGGGAAATTAGATTTTCTCTTGGTGAAATGTAATTAAAAACTAAAATATCAACTCATTAATTACTGAATTGCAGAAAATTTGATTCACAGTTTTTCATCTATACAACACTATATTTTAATATTTTAGTTTAATGTAATATTTCCTGATTTTTTGTTTTTGATTATATTTTTCTTAAGATCGATCTAGTAATAAAAGTCCAAGATAGCTAATAGAAGAGAAAACAATATTTGGAAGGTTGCTACAATTAACAAGAAAAACAGCTCTTAGGTGAGTCTTGGTAAAGGTTACCAATGGCATAGATGCTATGAAATAATTGATTGTGTAGTCCTATTGCATGTGATAAAAATAATAAACAAAACCTTTGACCATCTGGAAATGGGTTTTAAAATTCTTATTCTGAAATTAGCCCTATAATAAATATGATGGCTAGTTCCCTAACAGTATAAAATCTAAGTTCACAGTTCAATGGAAAATATCTATTGAGGAATTTTTGTCTCTTTTTTAAGAATAGCTAATATATTCTTGGTTAAATGAGCATTATATTCTATGGAACCCCATGACAGCTCATCATCTCATAAAAACAGAATATCAAAGAATGTTGCTCTTAGACTTTAAGGAGTGGTCTTTGGGAACTTAACCCCAGAAATGCCTCTCTTTCTCTTAGAATTAAGCTGCTTGTGGTGTTTGAGAGGCCATCTCTCATTAGCCCAGAAGTGTAATTGACATTAGAAATACTTTTATTTGACATTGTTCATCCCTGTAACTTTGTTTCAAAGATGTAAGTGATGTAGGGAATCTTTTATTTTGTGATTTAAAAAGAATTAATTTCTTGGAGTGAAGAATTATTTTAAATCAGGAGCAATTTTCTTCCTTAAATTAATGAAGTCAGGAAATTACAAATTTAATTAGTACTTATTGAAAATAAAAGTAAACTTTATAGTAGAATATGCGAGGAAATCTTGTATTATGATGTCACATAAAACCTTTTATTTTAACACTTTAATCATTTTATCTCAATTTTTGTGAAGGCAAAGAAAGCAAGATGTAAGAAGCTTTTTCTTTATAAGTCTAGTTAAAGTAAATTGTATTTGATTAAGCTCCTTCATAGTTAAAACTATGATGTTCTTAAACAATTGTAATATATGACATTATTAATCTAATCCTTAAAGTATGATTATTGTACAGTTATAACAGAAATTTTCTTTTGACACCATCTATATTTATTCCATGAATATTGATAAATTTTATTTCTTTCTTTTTCTACTGAAGCTTGACTTATACAGCACATTTCATTTGGGCTCTAATGATGGAGAAAAAGAGAATACTGTATTTTCTGTTTCTCTTTCCTTTTTTGATGGTAAGCATAAATTCCTCAGATTTATCTCTATATCTATTATTGTATCTGCTCACTTGCAATATACCTGTAATTGGCAAAGGTTAATTAATAACCACAAAATTAGTTATTAGATGCACAAATTAATTGTATTTTGTGTTCAACCAACAGCAATAATTTACTTCCTTTCAGTGTGTGCTTTTAGTTTTATATCTGATATGGGGTGATGGAGTCCTGGGGAAGTCAGAGTGGGGAAGGTCAATGGATTCAAATGTATAGAACATCAGGAAAATTTGTAGAGTTTGAAAAAAATGAGACTGCTCTATAAGCACAGCCACACATTATGGATAAAATATCTCAAACCATACGTGGATTCTGTGGTAGATCTATTAAAAGAGCTTATTCTAGTCCATTGATTTTCTTTCATTCCTCCAATATTGATTGAAAGGGAATTCAGAAGCACGCACTGTTTAAAGTAACTTCTCACCCATTCATCCAAATAAGTAGGCACTGATGCTAAATTTGGAGCAGGTGTGAGTGTGCATGAGCGTTTACACTCATGTGGACCTCTGCGTGTGTGTGCCAGGGATACAGGGCCAGAAGTGGAGGTTAGAGCAAAGATAACCAAGTATCAATTGCTCTCCCAAAGGAGTTTTTTTTTACTTGTAGATTTTTAAAAATGTATTTCTCTGCCTCAAATTAAATTGGTAACTATGCTCTTATCTCATATGTATGAGAAGCCGAGAGACATAATCTCATTTGATTCTGTGCCAGCAGAGTTTTCCTGTGGTGTTCCCAAACGAACCTCACAAAGATTCAGACAAACTCGGAATAAAACCACAGAAAACCAAAATGAGAAAAAAAAAAAAGTAAAAGTAGGATTACATTACTGTCAGCATTTGCATTTGACATCATTCTCAAGTCTAGAACAGTCCAAATTCTGCACTTCTGGGATGTTATCTTGGGTACCCTGACTGGAGTTCACAGGACAGAATTTCTGTTTTCTCTACTCACACCCACCATCAAGCATGCCAGAGAGCTGTTCAGGCTGAACTGGTTCTTGCAGTCAATTCTGTAACAGATTAACAATCTGATTATTGTAATTGACCCTTTCCTTTGAATTCCTTGAGGGGCATTGTATAAAATCTGGATATTTATTTCAATAAGGAATAAAAATACTATTGTCACTTTCTACAAAGTTCTTGAAAGAATGAGTTATGTGGGGTTTTTTTCTGTCTTGGGTGGAGTTTGTTGATGGATGGAAGAGCATTCACCTCCCATGGGGAGGCCCTGGGTTGGACCTCTAGCATTATGGCGAAAAAAGAAAAAGCAAATCTCCTAAAAATGATGGTTCGATGTTCTAAATCTCCATAATTACTTGTACATTGCTGCTGAATAAATCTTTATTAGGAAATCAAAACCAATCAAAGAATGGGTTGATGTTAATGGTAGAAGGTGATGATGAAGCTTGAGAAGTGCCACACAGTGAGGGAACATTTTTACTTGGACTTTACTAAGTTTAGTTTACTGTTAGCAAACAGAGAATCATGAATATGAGAATGAAAGAGAAGCAGAGAAAAAAATAGCTTATGGGAGAGAGTTAACACTAACAATGTGAGAAGTATGTAGAAAAGATGTTCATACACATTTCATATTATAAATCAGAAAAAAAAGTAACATAAAAATGAAATTAGAGAATCTTAAAATAGTGGTTCTAACTTGGAAGAACACACATAGTTAGGACTCCAAACCTTTTACTGATATAGATTCAATTAAAATTTGATCATTAATGATTTTGCTATTATTTTGGTTTACCAAAATATGATGATAATTGACAACTGATAGTGAGTGTTTTCCAGGTACTAGGTACATCTCTCAGTTATCCTGATGCTATTTTATACATTTTACAATAAGAAGATAGAATACTGGAGGTAGGAGGTAAACATCTTGCCTACAGCCACAGAGCAGGTTAAAAAAAAATCAAGGAGATTTTGATCACAGCTGTTTGTAGTTCAGAACACATGTTGAGGTTGTCTCCTAACCATCTACCGCCAGCCTTCTAGAGCCAGCTATACTTTCCAACTCTGCCTTTGGTGACAAACTTTGGTCTGTTTGAAATTGGTCACGGTGGGAGTTTTTATACCATGGAAACTGGCAAACATTACAGGTTGGTGAATTTGTCCCAGACAGTTTACCATTCAAAAGAAGATTTGCATCTGACAAAGAAATTTTCAGTTCTCAAACTGTTGTTTTTGGTTGTTTCATTCCCTTAGACTCTCGTCACAGCAGAATCAGAAGGTGACCCTGATGACTTAATTCAGTTGGGGGTTACTAGAAATAAAATCATGACAGCTCAATATGAATGTTACCAAAAAATTATGCAAGACCCCATTCAACAAACAGAAGGTAACCATAACTATTTAATTTCAAGTGTATTTGACATATTTTAAAAAGAAAACTACTTCATTATATCATTATGAGTTCCTTTCTCCATTATTAAAAACAAATTAGTTGCTGTTTTTCTGGCTTATGTGCAATTTTCATTATTTACAAAAAATATTTTATGACATTATTCATCTTGTTTCTTTTTGAAAAATCTAATGAAAATATTTGACAGTGATCTTTTTAGAATCATCTTTCTATGATTGAAAGATATTAAAAATATCAAATAGGCATTAACACTAATATAAAGTCACAAATCTCAGATTAAGTCAACTGAGAGCTGACCTTCAATTCATGTAATTTGTATTTCTTTGTTTTGCAACCTGTTTGATAAGAATCAGATCTCCTTGACATCTATTTAATCACTAGTATTTACAGCTATGATTATTCCCATAACAAATATGATGAACTCCAAGGCTGCTATTTCCTTTAAGACATCCTTCTTGGTAACATTTATGAAAACCAACTAATCACCAGATATTTGTCTAGATTCCAGAAATATAAAGATAAGTAACAAATGTAAAGTTTTCATAATTGATAAAAACAAAAGCAGGTTGTATGTTTCCTCTGGCAACCTTATATGCACAGGAAGCGTCAAAATATAAAATGCAAAATTTACAGTGAAACAAAGCAAAATATGGACTCGTCAGGTAATTCTCATTTTTTTAAACCATCAGAGAAAGGCATACATATTTTTGGAAAAATATTTGCCGTTATAGCATATTATGTTTGTGCATAAGTGAAATGTTAAAGGTAGACCATTAATATTTTTAATTTTAAAAAGATATTTGTGAATGAAAAATAAGAAAAAAATGTTACCTTTTTCACTCTAAACAACTTTTACCCTCACTTTGACTGAGCAATATATAACATATATTTTTGAAGAACTATTTATGTAATAGCTGAACCAATATTTTTGTTATATCAGTTATTTAAAAGTATGTTTTTAAACATGCCAGAAAATGACAAATTTTCAGATTTAAGTCAATAGTGGTTGAATTATCAAGTAATTAAAATATTCATATATATATATTTATATTCTGTGCTAACTGATCTAGCTTTTCATTTTATTCCATTAAAATATAGGTTACAGTAGTTAAAACTATTGAATTAATGCCTCCAAAATCATCTAGATATATGGATAAATAGGTTTAAAAATATGTTAAACAGCAGGAAACTCTGTAAGCGTTTCATACTTAATTCTGTGGCACAATGAGTTCAAGATCAGTGCATAATTATCTTGGAGCTTCGTAATGCATTTTGTTATTTGTAAAAAACATGTTATAGAAAGTCTTGCAATAAAGAATTATCTTTATTTTGACTTTGTGTTTCTGAGAGCTCCTTGACAGCAACTTCTTGAATGGAATACCTATTCCTACTGTGCCATATGCCACAAAACACAATTCAAAAAATTCTAGACATTTCAGTCTCCTATTGCTAGAATTTAAGTTAGTTATATGGACTCTTTGCAGTAGAGACATAAACATGTTTGAGATGCTTTCTAAAATTATAACAAGAAAATTTTCCTTGATCAGCCACAAACTATATTTTGCTCAGTAAAATATGATTTCAACCCATTTAAATAACTGGTGTTATATATTTTTTTTAATGAAAGAGGTGCTTTTTCTTCATGTTGAAGAAAAATATGACATTATTAATATTCTACCCCATTTGAAAAGGAAGAAAGAGCTACAATTTGGAGGAGGGTCCTTACATAAGTATTTTTCATGGTTAAAATGGCAAAATAGGAATTTTGGGCTATTCATTTATGGTTCATAAAACATTAACAATTTTCCCTAATAACATAATTTCTAAATTAAAAAATGTTTTAGTTTAGATATATACATAAAATATTTATATAAATATATAAACTAAATATATATCCTATAATATATATATTAATTTCAAGTATAGGAACTAATCATTACCTCATCAGGGACAACCAGCAAAGACCACTTGATTTACTGAACAAATATCTACCTTTGAGAAATAGAATTTAATCTAAACTTTATAGAATTAGAGACAGTTATTTCTAAATTTAGTTTACAAATTAGTTATTCTAATAAATAGTTATTCTAGTAATTACTAATTACAAATTAGTTATTCTAATAATTCTAATAATTAAATTATAAATTTAATTTATAAATTGTTCTAATAATAACCCAAGTAATTGCTCTAGTTTTTATATATCTTCATTTTCAGTAGACAGGCTTTATTCCATGCCAATGAGAAGCCATCCATAAGACTTCTCATCTTCCTGTGTAATTAGAGGAAGTTAGTCATCCCTAGTTTTTATTTGTCCTTTAAGGAATTTACTGCAACAGGACCTGGGATGGATGGCTGTGCTGGAATGATGTTGCAGCAGGAACTGAATCAATGCAACACTGCCCTGATTACTTTCAGGACTTTGATCCTTCAGGTAAAAGCAGAAATTTACATGCAAGTCTTGACATCTATCTAATAAACTCCAGGTTATTTAATTTTTTATTTTCATTCTTCTTTTTAATTTTAAAGAAAAAGTTACAAAGATCTGTGACCAAGATGGAAACTGGTTCCGACATCCAGCAAGCAACAGAACATGGACAAATTATACCCAGTGTACTTTTAACATGCACAAGAAAGTGCAAGTATGTAAAAATCCTGAATTGAAATTTATTTTGCACTATCTATTGAAGCAGTTCAATACTGTATTGGAAAATACTTAGTGTGTTCCATTTCATCCATTTACTAATATAATTTGAAAAAAACAATGAAGAAGAACATCTGTAGAAATCATTATTGATTTTGTCATTACAAAGAAGAAGCGATCCTGTTAGATAATAGTGTATTTACAAGTCAATATCTTAGTATTGGGGTTTCAAATTTTCCAAAAAAAAAGTACCTTAAAAGTGTAAGAAAAGGGAAACTTTAGTTTGCTATGGAGTTCTAGAATTGCCTCAGAAATTATGCTTAAGCAAACAGGATCAGCCCAGCAGGATTTACAGCTTCTTATGTCCCTCAGCAGAAGCCTCTCCTGACTGATGGTTAGGACCCTCTTGCTCACATTACCCAACTTGAATGTCAGGCATTAAAGTTAAGGTTAATTACTTTTGTCGCAATAATAAAGCTTGATAGTTAATGCCTGCATTTACTTCCACTTGTGCGTGTATATATAGCAGCAATTTGTCAACAGTGATTAAAACTGTGAGTTCTGTTATCTGATTTCCCTTATCTGCCCTTTATCTGTTGTAATGACCTTGGGCAAGCCATTTAAGGTCTCTCTGTTTTGATTCCCTCATGTACAAAATGGGATGACAGCTAAGTTTCTCCCAATGGCTTTCACAACAATGTCAAGGAAAACACTTAGAAGACTAGTGTATAGTAAGCATTTAATAACATCAGCTATCATTACATTTACAAATCATATATCCTCTCTGTATTTAGAGAAGTGTTTACAAGGAATTACAGAGATATTCTATGAAATTGTAGGTTAAAAACAAATAGAACAAAGAAAAAGAAAATGTCAAAACCAGGAGAAAGTTGAAACACATTTGTAGAGATCACAGGATCTTGTAAATTGCCACATTAAATTTGCTTCTTAGTCTCTAATTTGTGAAAGGAAAAAGATAAACCCTATGGAATAAAAATCTAATCTGCTCTAATTCTAAACAAACAAAATCACCAAGTAGCTTTTCATTTTAAATATAAAGTGTTGATTCTGTGTGCTATGTAACCTAGATCAATAAAAGTATTACTTCGTAAGTTAAATATGTGATGTCTAAGTTCTTAAATAAAAGGATCCATTACTTATAAATTTGATATGTTACTTGATAAGCTTACAAAGATGTTCTTCATTATAGAATGCATTCAAATATTTATTGGTTTCCAAGCAAATCATTGTAAGGCTGTCAGAATAAATTTTATTTTTTTAGGATTTTCATAAGGATTTATTTTTAGGTTTTTTAAAATTAGGTTATATTCATGTACATGTGAGAATACATAGAAATAGAATTTATTCAATTGAGCTTGCTCTTATGTATGTAGAGTTATAGATATTTATAAGATATTGATATAACTCTAGTTTTTATTTATATGAATTATAGACTGCATTGAATCTGTTTTACCTGACGATAATTGGACATGGATTATCAATTGCATCACTGCTCATTTCACTTGGCATCTTCTTCTATTTCAAGTAAGTACACTAAATTATTTTTAAAGTTTACCAACTGTCTGTGTTGAATATGGGTCATGTGCAGATGTGTGTCATGTGCTCACAAAATACAGATGACTTAAAATGTTTAAAATAAATCAGATGTTTAAAATAAATTTAAAGATGTTAACTTTACTTTAGCTTTGTAAAATATTTAGAGAAGAGATTGATGAAATATCTTAGTTCAAATTTTATAAAATTAGTAGGCATATAGAATGAAGTAAGGTAACAAGAAGAGCCACAATCATTATATAAACCTAAATGTATTTTGCTCTTGAAACTGTCAAAACAGACCTACTTATTTGAGTGTTCAAATTTTGGTCAGTTTAATATCAGCATTCTGTGCATTATGGGAACCAGAATTTTAAAATAACTCCATTAATATAATAATATATTAACTCCATTTAACATATTATTAAAAATATAGACTACATATATTATGGTTAAGTTATCTTTTCTCGATTTGGACCATCGTCATTAAATAGGTTAAATTATACACTCAAATTTGCTTATAATTTCCTTATTTTTTGTGGGGGAGTGAGGAAAACAGTTCCAATTTCTTGATTCGAACAATCAAGACATTTTCATACTTATAGTAAGGAAAATTCCAAAACAGGTATGCATTACACTATACCTTAAAGTTTTTCGTAACTGCCACCACCACTAGCAACTGTACAATGCAGTGCGATAAGAGTCAGTAGCTGCATCATGTGTTAGCAGTAAATCTAAATAATCCAACTTTAGAAATTATCAAAGAGTTGGATTTTTTTATACAAATGCAACTGCAGCACCAACTTTTACCCCGTCCATCAAATATATGAAAATATTGAATAACAAAACAGTCAAATAATGATTAGGTTCAAAGTCAGATCTACAGATTGCATGTGGATTGCAATATTTTTTAGAAATTTACACCTTCTTAATATATGGAATATAGACCTAACACAAATACAGCAATATCATGAAAACCTGGTCACACTAAGGGGAGGTCACATACAAGAAGGGTAGGGTAAAAGAAAGAAACTGAGATGAATGTGATTGATATACTTTCTATACAAGAATGAATGCAGAATTCTTAACCAACTGAAATCACCATAAGAAAGGGATTAAGGTAGAATGAAGAAAATTAGAGGAGATAATCCAATTGGGATTATAATACATATGTACATGGAAAGATCACAAGGAAATTCCTGTGTAGCTCCCTTTATCTCAAACAAGCAAAAATGTCATTTTATTCTTTTTTTGGTTCTTTTTTCCTCTATGAAATTGGAGAACAGGAGGGCAGAACAGGTCCTGCAGGGCAGGGGGATGGGGGCAAGGGGTGTTGGGAGAGAGGAGGGAAAGGGTGAAGGAGAGTGAATATGGTGCAAATACTGTGTATATATGTATGTAAATGAAAAAATGATACCTGTTGACACCATGCCAGGAATGGAGGGGGGACAAAGGAAAGCAGAGAGGGGATGAATCCAAATATGATATATTTGATACATTGTAAGAACTTTCATAAATACCACAATGTACCACCCCCATTAAAATAATAAATACATAAAAAAAAAAGAATCCTCAACACCAGTTATTTTGGGAAATCTATAAAAGAACTATCTGGACACCATTAGAAACTGATTAAAAAAAAAAACAACCTGCCCTGAATACACTGAATTAAGCACTGTGTACATGAGTAAATGTGACATTTGCTTCAGTAAATTGTGTGAAAGCATATCGAAGTCAGTTGAAAAGAGCTTTCATTCTAAAATATGGAAAGCATTTCTTAAAGATTTAAATGTGCTACACTGTAATTCAAAAATGGCTCAAAGCTTTTTGCTCAAAACAGTGCCATTTTCAGTCACTGATTTTATATTTAGGTATGTCTTTTTGGTTGCTATATTGAAGGTACTGAAATGTCTTTACTCTTGTTTGTATGGTTAGCTAATAAAAGATTTTTTGAAGTAGTGCTATAATTGAAATAGAAATACTGCATAATGATTGCCTAATAGATTTAAAATATCTGTTCCAAAAGTAATGGAAAAGAAAGTATTTCTCAAGGTGAAGTTTTGAAACAAAATTTTTCATGTACACAGGACAAATTATGCTAATCGACAAATAAAACAATGTTGGTGATATTAATAAGCTCAGGAAAATATGTTAATAAAACTGGGTTGACATTAAAGATACAAAATAAAATTAAAAGTTCAGATTCTCCTTTAGTATAATAATAAATGACCAAACATTTTAAGATATAGCCCAGGTTTATTTTTATTTCCAAAAAAAAAAAATTCAAAAACAACTTCACAACACTGAGGTTTGTGCTTGCTAAGCAGGCACTCTACCTTTGGGTCGTGCCCTATCTTTTTCTTCCTTTAGTTACTTTTAGCCTCCTGCATATCTGTGATTACAAGGGTATACCACCATGCCCAGCTTATCTAAATTTTTGTCTGGGCTGGTCTTTTTTTTAATTTTTCCCTCTTTCCTTTTTTTATTATGTTGTTGTACTAGGGGTAAATTGTGACATTTACAAAAGTTCTTACAATGCATCATAAGTGAATTCACCCCCTCCATAATTTTTGTTTATCCCCTCCTCCCACCATTCCTGGAGTAGTTGCAGCATTTCTCATTTTTTCCATTTTCATACATGAGTGCACAATATTTCCACTACATTTAGCTTCCTTCACCCTTTCCTTATATTCTCCTTCTCACTGGTGCCCACCCCCAGACAAGACCTGTTTTACATTTCTGTCTGCTTCCAAGTAGCTGAGATGATACACATAAGCCACCTCACCCATCCCCTCATCCCCCCAGAAAACAGTCTTTACAATTAAAAACTAGAGGGTGGGATGGATGTAGTGATGCATGATTGTAATCTTGGAACTTGGGTGTTTGAGGCTGGAGGGTTGCACATTCAAGGTCAATCAGGACTATGTAGTTAAACCCCGTATGAAAAACCAAAAAAAAGAAACTAGAACAAAACAAAACAAAAAACTACAAGGTGTCTAGTCTAAATTTGAAAACATGACTCTTGATTCTTAGAACTGGTGCATTCAATGATGTGACTAATTGCTCTAACGCTCAGTTCTCTAGAACTCAGATTTTAAGTTAATGAAATTTTTTTAATTTATCTCCCATGTAAACACATGGAATTAATTTAAATGTAATTAATATTAGCCAAGATTTTTTTTAACTCAAAGACTCTAAGGACTATGACTAAGTGTAAAATAGATTAGCCTCTATCCTAATGCATACAACATAAATCCTAAGAGTTTGAAGAGTATTACAAATATTATAGAAAAAAATTGCAAGTTTTCAATATGCCAACCTTAGGAAAAAGAATAGAGCTATTAAAATTTGGAATTAAAACTATGATAGAGCCATCAATGCCACTGCTGGGTTGCATCTAAATCCCCAAAAAATGAGATAAGTATCTTAAATAGACATCTGTAATCCAATGTTTATTGTGCATTACTCACAATAGCCAAGAGATGGAAACAACTTATATCCTACCAATGGGAATGGATAAAGAAAATATGGCACATATACACCATGAAATAACATTGAGCCATAACAAAGAAATGAAGTCCTGTCATTCATGACAAAATGGATGGAACTGGAGATCATTATGTTAAGTTAAATAAGCCAGACACAGAAAGAAAAGTACTACATGGTCAGACTCACATGTGGAATCCAAAGAGTTGATCTCACAGGACTTGAGAATAGAGTGGTGGTTACCAGAGGTTGGGGAGAATAAGAGGCAGAGGACTGAGAAAGCTGATCAGAGAGTATGAAGTAAGTCTTAAAAGTAACAGCTAGCCCAGATATTGTGTTGCTGTACAGTAGTATGATTCTAGATGACAACGATTTACTGTGCATTTCAAAAAGACAGAAGTATGCACTCTGCAAGTTTTCATCATAAGAAAATGATAAATGTTTGAGGAGATTCATTAAACATGAAATAATTTGTACATGTATCAAAACATTACATAGTATCCCATTAATACATATCATTTTTATGTATCAGTTAAAAAGTAAAAATTTAAAAAATCAACAGAGGACTGGTGGAGTGGCTCAAGTGCTAGAGCACCTGCCTAGCAAACATGCAGTAGTCCTGAGTTCAAACCCCAGTACAGCTAAATAAATAAATAAAAATCAACAGGAAAAATAAGTAACAAACCAGCTTTGATAAACAAGACTTGTTCTTAAATTTTCAGTATGTTTTAAAATAAAAACTAAAATAAGTATGTTAAAACCGAAAATAAGTATTTTACTAATTTTAAAATAAAAATCTATAAATACGCCTATAATTCTAGCATCTTCTTAAGCAATTTCTTAGTTTTCTTTTTTTTATATATATATATTCATTTGTTTACCTTTTTTTTGTATGGGACTGGGGTTGAATTCAGGGCTTCATGCTTGCAAAAAATGCAAGCACTCTATCACTTGAACCATGCCTCTATTCTTTTTACTCTGGTTATATTAGAGATGGGGCTCTTGTGATATATTTGTCAGGCTGGCTGGAGCAGCAATCCTCCCAATCACAGACTCCCAAGTAGCTGGAATTACAGGCATGAGCCATGGGCGCCTGGCTTGTATTACAGTTTTAATTGCAGCATACAAATTATTTCAACTACTTTTGCAATGGAATTATATAATTAGTTTCTTATATGTCAGCAAACAATTTTCAAAACAACTATTTAAGTGGTGATACTCCAGTTAGTAGGTTTACAAGGTTTACCTTATTTAATAACAAAGCCTCTATTTTTTAACATTAACATTGCTTCTGTATTTTTCTATTTATAAAAATACTGCAATGAGCATTTTCATCCATAACTTTCTCCATATTTTACAATACTTTTTTTAGACTGCATTCCAGAGTCAGAATTTCTTGGTCAAAGGACATACATCTTTTTATGGTTTTAAAACACATCTCTCAAAAGTATCCAATAATCAACACATTCAAAACAAACTCTTAACACCTACATCCTCCGAACCTA